ATACCTTGGCATGAAATAAAATTCCAAATTCATTCACATAATAAAATTAATACATTTAAATTATATTCTTTAATGTTAAAAAGAAAGAAAAAAACCCCACACTCCTCTATTAGGCATTTCTGTGGCAATATCTAATAGACTCCTTAACCATGACATTGAAGAACTGAGCTGATTCCAGCCCCTTTCCACCTGCTCAGCCCCATCTTGTCCCATCCCCTATGGATGGAGAGGACATCCATCCCATTTTCCAGGTCCAGATGTTGGAACCATTATCTTTCGCTCTCTTTCTCTTAAACACACACACAAACACACACACACACACACACACACACACACACACACACACACACAGCATACCCAGCTTGTTTGAAAATTCTGGCTACTCTCTCTTCATTAACCACCTCCTCCTTGTTCCCCACCCTCCTAGGAGCCACCTTCAGCCCCTTCTTGGACACCAAATAGCCTCCTTCTTCCATCTTTGCTTTTCTACAATCTCATCCACAAAGATTCAGACGGAGCCTATAAAAGCATATATTGAGGGGGTGGGTGTAGCTCAGTGATAGAGCGCATGTTTATCATGCATGAGATCCTGGGTTCAAACCACAGCACCTTCACGAAAATTAATAAATTACCCTCCCGCCAAAAAACCCAAAACAAAAGCATAAATTGGACATCACACATCCCATCAAAACTCACTAAAAGGGTCACCATTTCATTAGGAGCCAAAGTCGTCCCATAGTCTTCCAGGACCCGGACTGCTCTGCCTCTCCACCCATACTCTCCCCATCACTCTGGGGGCCTCTGGCTCCGAATCTTCCTTCTTCCTCCGGATCTATGCTGCTTCAAGTTCATTACTCCGTGAGATCTGCCAGGATTTCCTTATTCCCTCCTGCCTGCCTCGCACCCCACCATCATCACCTGAATTTGCTCATATCACTCTTATTTTTCCCCAAGCTCATGCTACCCCCAACATGCTGCCTGTTTCCTCTGCTCAAACTCTGAGCCCCCAGTGGTGGGGAGTCGTGTCTAATTTGTTGACTAATAAAGCCCAAGACCCTTGGGAACGGGTATAGTTACTAGTTTCCCATATGTAGTAGGAGCTTATACAGATTTGCTGAATGACTGCAGAGGTGCTGGTCCAATCCGATGGAGCACTTCTGTGTCCTGCTCAAAGAATAACTCTCCTTTCCTCCTGAGAGTGGGTGACCACTTCCTTGTTGATCAAAGGCAAGATCTATTTTCTTTATGCTGTTAACCTTAGGCGGGGAGACTGGGGGATCTTCATTTATATTTTAAAATTTGATTCACTCTGCAGTTTGTCTTCTGTCTATGTATCCTTTTGAGAAACCGTTTATGAGTGATCATTCTTCCATCAGATTTAACAGGATCCAGGGGGAAGTACCAAGCCTGTCCCATTGGCCATCCTGTGTGTCATGTCCTGTGACCAAGTGGATGCTCAGCACGTAAGTGATACGATAGGAGTGAGTGAAGAGATGGGAGCATCTCATTATTGTGGTAGCTGCACTCTGTCCGATGCCTTGAGATTTGGGGAAAGGTTTACAAGTGCGGAGGGGAGAGGCCAGGTCCTCTGTGCTCTTCCTGAGTGCCCTGGCCTTACCCATTCCCCCAGCCCACTCTGGGCAGCCAAGCCCAGGAGCTGGGCCACCGGCGATTGTGCTGATCAATAATCTACCTCACCCAAAGTCCGTGGGTAGGAGCGGCCAGCACAACTGGTTGTAGACACTGGAGTCAGGTCCTTGGAGGAATTCCTCACTGAACGATGTTTTGGAACTTTCATTTGTCTCTATAGCCTCCAGCTGAAGAAACAGGTTGCCTTAGATACATGAAAGATGAGGACACCTACTATCCCCATGGAGCCCAGGTGGGACTGTGAGTCTGCTGTTTGTACAGCCGGTGGGCTTGTGTTGCTTTGGGCATCCCTGTGCCTGAATTCCTGCAGTACACTCGGTGGTAAGAACGAGGGTGCCTGGCAGGGAGGGAAGCGGGTCGGGAGACTGAACAGCTGGGGAGACGTTAACCTGGGGTGAGCGGGAGCCGGCTGATGCATGGCATCTCGGTGCAGGGAACTCTCCACACTGAGAGAGGTTCCCACTCCCGCAGGGTCCCTTTGATCAGGGTGCTGGGCTGTCAGCAAAGCAGGGTCCCTGTGAGGATCATGGTGCCTTCAGGCAGTGGGAAGTGAAGGGTCCAGTGGCACTTAAATTAACTGTGCATCTGAAGCCAACCCCCATCTCTTTCAGCCTGGTTCCTAATTTACAAAACTGGAATGATGTTAACCATCCCACAGTTTCGTTGATGGTCTGGGACACACTAGTCAGCAAGGAGCTGGAATTCCTCTGTCCACTGATTGTTATCCTTCCTTCCCACTATTTGCTCCACAAGCTCAGTCTCTCTGTCTCTCTCTCATTCACTTGTAACTAACTTTCTCTCCTGCTCTGGTTTCATTTGATTCCCACCCTCCTCCCAATCCCCAGATGAGTGAACTTGATTTCTGTGTGTCAGTTCCAAATTCCCGGGAAAGATGCTCTGTCCCCTCTGGATTGATTGTCCAACCCATCAGTTGCAGCCAGAGGAGCGAGTCCCTCTGGGACCAGCGGAGGGGCTCCGCCCAGCCCCCCATCCACCACTGTGGGAGCACATAGCTCTCCGTGGAGGAGGTACTGGCTGTGACCTTGTGTCAGTCAGTATAAATTTATGTCTCCTCTTGCCCCACCTTGATCCTCCTAAGCAAAGATGAAAATTAAACACTCCCGGGATTTGTGTCATGGAACACTCAGGGTGGGGACTAAGGGGGCTGGATTCCCTGCTGCATGTAAGGGACTACAGTGACTCCCCAACGAGAGCCTGCAAAGGGAACAGCACCGGCCCCACCGGGCACTTGGGGCGCTGAGTCTGCGTGACATTGAGCCAGGCTTCTGACCACATCTCAGGGGGCTGGTCCGACCGGTTAGTCTTTGAAACCAACCAGCTTTGGATTCCTCAATCCCTCCCTGAGGTTTTACCTGAACCACCAGCTTCTGTATCTCTGAAGACAGATGATGAGGACCCTTCATGTAAGCCAG